AGTCCCTCGTAACTTGTTCGAAATATTTCCGAGCACTTCGTCGGTGACGTCACGTTGACTGCGCTTTTTCTACCGTCCGACTGTCGCGAGCGCGTGTGTTGCGCGCGTCGTTTCGGTGCTGTGTGGCGAACGGTCGTCGTCGGCAAAAGATAGATGGAGTTACGTTGGCTAGCTCTCTTGTCTAGCACATCTTGTCATTACTCATTTCCCTACCAGTGATGAGTAGTTGTCCTTGTCGGTAAGGAGGTCGATGCTCCCGTGGCCATTCTCCAGAATCTTCGTCTCAGCCTTTCGAAGATTGCGAACGATAACAGCCACTATTTTCACTGCCATTGTGAATATTCTTTTTACCACTGTCACTATGCCTATTCTGCTTTTAACTGTGAGTACCAAAGCTTCATGCGCCTCTTTGAAGCAAATCTACATCATTTTTCAGAAATATATTCTAGACAATTCATGATCTCTAGATAGGCATTAGATCTACAAAGCGCTAATATTGGCGAAATTGATCCCTTAAGTCGCATTTGCATATCGATTACTGATCTCCTGTTGCTGTTCTCTTGTTGTACTGGTTTCGCAGTCATACAACGCTGAAAATTGATGCGGTGCTGTGATAAAGTTTACTTGCTCAGCAAACACTGAACAGAGATATTGATTGGAGAAGAGCACTTTGAGAGTGAGGTGAAATTTGGTAAAAGGTTTAGGAATATTGACGTAATATTTAGTTCTCTAATCACCTGTTAGTGAGTTAGTCAAAGAGAAAATAATGATGTCAGCAATTGTTGATTGAATTGTGATTTAGAACGGAGTGACCAACAACATTGAGGACGTGATCACGAAAAATGCAATACAGGATGTCGTTGTTCCTGTAAGCATTTACTGCGTATATTTCCAGTTCTGTTTATAATCGCTCTTTACTGATATATGATTGAAAAGTTTCTGTTCTCTGCATATTGAACAATGGGCCTGATCACCATCACTGATCTGTTTTTGCACGGTTAAAAAAGTTCTTCTCTGAATTCGATTTGAAATGTTCTTTAATTTGTCTGCCCGAGAAAATCTTGTTTTAAGATCTTTTTCTTCTTGGAGAGTCATTTTTATTCAAAAAATACCTTGTATGCCTCCCTAATGATTTGTCAAAGTGCAACGAATTGTGCAAGGAAATTTCGTGATGGGGAAATGTAGGCAAATTAACAACTGTGTATTTCTTTGAAGGGTTACTTCTGAAAATGTCGTGGATCATTTTTTAATCCTCAAATATTTCAATGAGAAGAAAGATTTAGAACAACACTTAAGAAAATGCTAGAGATTGACCACAATGTAACGCGTTCGCCAGTGACACCAAGAATGTTCGCGAACAAGTTTTTGTGGTAGGGTTGTAAAGAGTGTTCCAGGCTGAAAGGATCAATGAAACTTGTCATACGGAAATAAACCGTTTGGCCTGATGAGCGCTATCTCTTCTCTTGCAAATTCGTAAAATCTTTCTGCGTTTAAAGACTTAGTTTAGGACGCATGAGTTAGTCCAAAGAGACTGAGTTACGAAAAACTAGTTAGTTGACCATAGTTTTGGGTATTAAACCCTATTTTAATGAATCTAAACGTAGAAGTGGTGAAGAAGTGTAGTGTGCATAGTCATACAAGGCAGCTGTTAAATGTTTTGCACCACATTTAGATCCTTTCATGCCCATGCCTCTAAAGATCTATCTTAGAAGTTGTTGAATGCGCTTTTTAAAGGATCCCAGCGAGAATTATGCAAAAAATTGTTATCTCAAATCGTTCAAAATTTTTCAACAAATTAGATGACTTTGTAGAATGATCAAAGACATTTCCAAACAATGGGTAGTAGTGAAAAGCTGTCGCATATCAGCGTGGGCGATTAAATGCAAAATTAGATTTATTCTTATTATAGCTATTATTGGAAGTTTTTTATTCAAATTGAATTGTGAATGTTCAGCTTAACTTTGTTAATTACAGACTACCAAGTCGGAACTGGGCAAGCGGAAAAAGAGTAAAAAGGATAAAAGCAAAGAAAATGTGATTATGGCAGAGAATGTTCCCGGTGAGTCATGCAACGTCAGCTGTTTCTATGCAATCTATCGTTCGTTTATGCTGACTAACGCAATCCAACGCATCAAGTAAACAATACCATTTCATACTAATCCTTTCTCTCTTTATGTTTTCATAAACGCGACATCGATCTGATCCAGTGGTTTACCACCATTATTTTCTCATACTCATTGTTATTGGCTTCGTTTATAACTGTTTGAAATTAAAGCCGAATAACTTCGAATTACATTGGGTTTCAGCTCTTACCATACGATCTCCCCATCTTTTTGCTTGTGGCCATTTCTTCACGAGCGCTTGAACTGCGTATCTCCCTGCATGAAATCCGAATCTGGTCGTCACTTTTTTCGTTGCTTTTATTTTCTTGACATTCTTACAAGCACTGTAGCATATTTTAAAACAATGGGTTATAATATGAACCCGTTTTTTCATGCTGCGCCACTCTTTTGCGAACGAGAAAAGCGTTCCAAGTGGAATAACAAATGCACGCCAAGGTGATACCCTAAGGATGCTCTCAACTCTTTTTTTTTGCACCTGTGCAAATATCTTGCTTAAGCCTAGCAAAATTTGCATTTGCTTTGTCTAGCCATGGTTGTGCCAATTTTTGGATTTTCTCTGAATCCGCTTTGATGCACGGGGCATATCTTTTATATGTTCCTTTCATCTGATCGAAGGTTTAATTTGTCAAAAATTACTTCACCTTTTTTCTTTTCCATTTGCCTTTAGCAATGTGATTGACATTAGTTTATCTGAAATTCCTATGGAAAAGATCGCTAAGTTGACTTTTAGTTTGAACCTGGTTTGATCTCATCATGTGGCACTTGCAACTTCAATATTGTTAATCCTTTTGAACTTCTGCAAACA